GTGCGGAACAGTTCGGAACAAGTGTTAGACGGCCTACTCACAAGGAAAAAGGAAACGCCCTCCTTCGATAATAAAATTTATAAGGAAGAGTAATAGTACCTGAGTACACCTATCTACAAGTAGCAGCATAGACGAGTCTTCAACCAAGGTAGGAGGGTTACTTTATAAACGGTAATATTTTGTATAGAAAGCTAGATTAGGCAGGTAATTAACTATAATTAGGATAAGTGATCTAGTTGTGCGATCTGACTTAAATATTCAATCTAATTTGTGGCTTATTCTCACTTAAAGAAAGTTGTTCATTATAGATATAAGTAATTTAAGTTATTCTTAATAAAAGTTATATTAAGAATTATATAAAATGTCTCATCCTTTAGATAATCCCACACCTCTAGCTTACGCGGATCCAACACGACATAGCTATCGCAGGATGGCTATGTCACAATGGCGCCCGAAAAATCTTAATTCTGGGTTAGGTAATGCAGGAGGATTTAGTATATTACCTGAAATGTATTTTTCAGGGTCGGAGAACATTACAGAGTTCCTTGAAACAATACATAATCAAATACAGTTACTTGAAATCCCAAATAATCTGTCATGTGCTTATTTGAAAAGTCATCTCAAGGGAAGGGCTCAAGATTGGTACTCAATATTTGGATCGGTGCTAGTGCAAGATACAGCCACGGATTTCGCGCAGCTCAAGGCTGAATTAGCGAAAGCTTTTCCCGCAATCAAAAATAAGAAAGAATTGGAGGCTAGATTTTTCGCGTCACAGCAGGGAAGAAATCAGGAACCCACAGACTTTGTTTACGATTTATTAAAAATTCAGAAAAGTTTAGAGAGCTAGGGATGTCGCAGGCGGAATTGATTGATCACATTTGTGTTAGACTCGAACCACAAATCCAGGACTACGTGGAAGTTCGCAATCCGCAGAACACCGTACATCTTTTGGAAATATTGGCTAAATTCGAAGAGAGGTATTCTTGCAAATTAAAAAGGGATTCACAGAATAGTGATAATGTAGAAAGACGAGGTCAAAACGCGCATAGGATGCCTAATTTTTATGCTAATCGCAGAAACTGGAGAAATTCTGAGGTTGGGCGTAGACCAAATAATGGTAGAAATGATTTTTATGAGAATAGCCGTCAAAGTAATAGAGGGTTCGAGAGGAATAGATTTCAGAATGGTGATCAGAGATTCAACGAAAGGGGATACCAATTTCGAAATGATCGAAATGATAATTTTAATAGAGGGGACCGTAGAAATAGGGGTTCGAGTGAAAATTTCAGTCGAGGCGATAGGATGCAAAGGGGACGATTGAATGTTGTAAAAGTTAAAGATCAACCTCAAAAGGAATCGGCAAGAGAAATACCAATTAAGCTTTCTCCGATATGTATATCACCCGTAGAGCTT